ACATATATTATTTATAAATCTGTATAATGATATAAATTTAAAAGAAAAAAAAAACTCATAAAAAATCTATAAAACATGACCTACTCAACTTGAAATCACAATGACGAGCATATAGATATTATGCTTGTTGTAAGGCACATTGGATGGAGCAATTCAAAGGAAGCTGCCAACCATTAACTTCATAGTCTTCATGTGTACCCACTCTTTTATTTTTACTTTTTAATAACTTCATTCCATTACATTTATTTAAAAAAAATATTCAATTACATTAATGTAAGAATATTGTTGTTTGTGTTTTTTCTTTAATGTCAAGATTAAACTGTCATTTAAACTTTGTAATTTAGTCGGAAATTAATTAATACGTAAAACGAATTAAGTAAAAGAATATATAAGATAAAGCGAACGATGTTGTGATAGATGGATGCAAACAGCAATTTTGAGGTGTAAAATGTTTTCCATCTCATGTTTGCATCTTTATTTGTCTGTATCAGTCTTTCGTAAACTAATATCGATAATAACTTGTTTGTATACAAAATAAACAATTTTCTAAAATTAGATATCAAAAATCAACTCAAAACACTAATTTATTAATGCTCACGGGTCAAAAAAAATGGTCAAGTTCAAAAAAGTACACAATTTGGATGGTACTGTTAGTGTTCCACTTTTATCTAAGATATACATAACGACTGCGCTTTTGTGGGCCAAAATTTTCCAAATCCATTTCGAGGAAGAGAAAAAAGTTTTGGAATTTTCCGAGTTAGTGTCAAACCATGCTTTAGGTGTGAACATAAGTATGGTCAGGTATTTGTAGGCTTTTTTACTGTTTTTTTAAACTGAGTTTTAACAGAGTCTTTAAAAAAGTTGGTCCGATCAATCTTTGAAACCTCAAATGGGATCAAGCTTGATAGGTCTGAACTTTTTTTAAACCGAATTTTTTTATGCATCTCAACTTCCGTCATCACCTCAATTGTATGATGTTGTACGTATGTATGGGCAAATCTCAACAGACTATATACAGTTCAAGCGTACAACATTCCATAGCAGGCATTTATCACCAACCCATCATGACTATGGGCATCCACCATTAACCATTTGATGTCCTAATGCGTCAATATTCATTAAATGGGAACTTTTTATTTATACCCCCAGTGTATTCACGAATATCAAAACCAACCCTCTTACTTATATATATATCCTTTATACCCTGTGACTTCTCCCCATGATATTATATGTTACTCGATGTATAATTTAATACAAATGCTTATGCAAAATGGTTCATAACCAGCAAACCTCGAATCAAATCGCTTTGCTTCAAAAGCAAGTATGAGTATTTTCAACCATAAGAATGAGGTTCGATTGGTTTGAGTTTGGACTTTAAAGGTTAAAAGTGTCTGCAAGTTTCAGGTTCGAATTTAAGGAGGAATAAAAATTTCTTGTGGCTACCGAGGTTCAAATGCGGTGACTCTGGACTACCCATAAAACGGGTGGTAGCCCTGAAATTAGTCAACTCGCATAACGGGTTGGATATCCAGGTTAATAAAAAAAAATAGTACGAGTATTTTCAATAAAAATATTTCATTATTGTAAAACGTTTTTCAACGGTGATACTATTATTGTGATTATTAAACTATTTTATGTTAACAAAAGCAATCAATTTTCCTGTCTTTCTTGGTGACATAATGATGACCTTGGCATTTAATGCACTGAAAAGTACAAGTTGATGAACTACCGTTTATTAATAAAAATGAAATAAGAACGAAAATGGATTGATATCACTTGTTCAAGTTTTAAATAATATGTAACCATGATAACTTGGGTTGCATCAATTGTTTTGAACAACGTTTGTATCTTTTTGTTAAAACAATACCGATATATTAAGTACAAATAGTAGTTATTTCTCATACATGCATCTAATTTTCTTATCAAAAGGATAACAAAACATACAATAAAGAAGATTCTATGCCTTATTCCTCACGTTATTTTTTTAATGTACAAAAAGCAAAATCATGATGCTTTGACTTTAAGAAAGAAGCATTAACTGTATTAAAAAAATAAACAAAAATAACATTAATTTTGAATATATGTCCGTTGTCGTAACATAAACGCAAAAAGGACCACCAAAGTGTCCTTAAAGATTTCGAAAGTTGCATCAAATGTGTGTTTAATGTTACATGTGGATTTGTTTATTTGAGGCTACAACCTTTGTTTTGTTTATCAAGATACGATGGTTTGTTAAATATATACAAATTCTAATTTGTGATTAGTAACTCTGGCCCATTAAATCCCATTTAAATAATAAAACGGTTAATTATGTGAATTTTTTTTTTGTAAATTTTCAACTTGTAACGAAGTAGTTATGATAACTCTTTTAAACAAACTCACAAAACCTTGTAAGATGCAACCAAGGTTAGGTTCGATGAAACATATAATATAACTCGACGTATAATTTAATGGGCAAATTGTATGAAAAATACAACGTACTTTGATCCGGTTCATGTTTTGTGTAATGTAATATCAAGACCTTCATTTTGGCACCTTAGACGTGAGATGTCAAACATTTAGATACATAGTTTACATTTAAAAATGCAGAAAATGCAACGTATTTCGGTCTGATTCTTATTTTATATAACGTACATTAATCTAGATGTCTGAGATATCAGGTCTGCTATCAAAGTAAAGGAGATGTCTGAGATATCAGGTATGCTATCAAAGTAAAGATTTCAAATTACATTATACAAAATAAGAACCATAATGAGCTACGTTGCGTTATTTTCATACAATATACCTTAATTTAATACCAAGTGTTTGATTCCTATGAAAGATTTTCTGAAATCCTCCGACACTAGTTTTTGTAACAATTTATTCGAAGTATGTATCTTAAAAAGATGATATGAAACTCGGTTTCCACATCTTTTTGTGGTGACACGATAACCTAGACATCATAGGCATCTCAAAGTATAATATGAGGAACATGTTATTGATCAATCAAGATACCGATATGTGCTCAAGTTTTGAATAAAGATGTAACCGCGATATGCAAGACTTGACTCAGGTTTATAATAATCGTTTCAAGTAGCATATATGTTTCATGTTAAAGTGACGTGGGTATTATTATATAGAATTAGTAGTTATTTTCTACACATACGACCAATTTTCTTGTTAAAAGGATAACGAAACATATAATATAAAAGATCCTATGCCTTGTTCTTCACGTTCTTTTTTTTTATATTAATTATACTGAAAGCAAAAGTTTGGCGCTTTAGCTTTAAAAATAACAACCACTATAAACAAAAAATAACATTTATTTGGCATATGGTATCACGACATAAACCTAAAGAAACAAGATCACCAAGGTTTCCTAAAGATATTGAAAATTACATCAAATGCGTATTTAAGTTTTTACATGTTTCGTGTTTTTATTTATTTATTTATGTGAGACTACAGAGTCTACAACCTTTGTTTTGTTTATCAAATCATGATTGTTCATTAAAATATAAAATACCATACAAAGTAATTTGAAATTACGACTGATGACTCTTCTAAATCAAATAAACAAACCCAAACATATTAAGTATTACTTTGGATGTGGGATTTAAAGGTGAAATTTTGTTTTATTTATCTAATTAAATACTATACTGAGCAATTTGAATTTATGATCGACAACTCATTTAAATCAAACCAGACCAAAACCAAAACCAAAACCAATCCTGTTGATTTTTCCTTAGTAAAATATCTGGATATGGGTCCCAATAGAAATATCCAAATGACTATTTCCATAAATATCCAAACAAGTATTTTCCTCGAAAAATTGGTATGATAATTCTATAAACAAGTCCGTAAAATCAAGGTTTATTATTATAAATAAGTAGATGACCATTTGAAAATTTTTATTTTACCATTTAACAATCTTTAATTTTTCTTATAAAATAGTTAAGAAAACTTAAAGTTAATGTCATAAGAACCTTTTGACATTTTGATGTTCTAGATGAAAAATGAATCTATTATAACATTTAATTGAGACACTATAACTTGTTATAGACTTATATCATAAAAACATGTATTGACACACAAAAACAAGCCAAAATCACAGTTTATGGTTTTGTAAAGAAAATAAAATGTGTTGTGACATTGACTTAAGGTTTATTAGGGTCTGTTTGATTGATTTTCCATTAAGTTTGGTATGAATAAATCTGTCTTTTTAAATTAATCTTTATATAAATTCGAAATATTTTTATTTAATAGAGTTTTTTTTCCTATAAATAGAATAAACATTTTTTTTAATTGGCAATGATAAATTTGAAAGAACACTTCAATTTCTATATAAAATTTCATATCTTCTAAAAACTTATTGAATAAACTATTTTTTATATCACATCAAGTTTTTATTTCAAAGCTTTCTAAAAGCTTATTAAATAATTTATTTTTATTTTATTAAACCACTATTTTTATTTCATGTATAATCAACATATAAACTATTTTTTATATCACTAAACAACTAGCAAACAATTATATTTTGATTATACATGAAATAAAAATAGTGGTTTAATAAAATAAAATTAACTTATTTAATAAGCTTTTAGAAAGCTTTGAAATATATATATATAGACTTGGATCATATGAGACCAATGGTTTTTCGTGAGATCCGTAAGACCAATTCACAACCTTTGGATTAGATCTATAATATGAAAATCTAAACATTCATAAATGCCACAAGACTTCTCAATAATCACAAAATTGCCATCGTGCAATTTAAACCATTAGATCATTCACTTATAAAGTTGATCAATAAATATAAATTGATCTTACGGGTCTCACGAAAAACTTTTGGTCTCACGTTGGTAAGTAACTTTTTAGCCATGCGGTTATTTATGAAAATAACCCTAAAATCGAGGATATATAAATGAATTATAAGTTATCATCAAGAATTGGTACTTCAATCAGCAGATAAGAGACTAACAATCCATTTCTTGCAACATAAAATAGAAAGAGAAGCCCCAAAATGGAAATGGAAATGGAAATGGAAGGTGATTTGCCTCATCAACTGCTTTCTCATCATTAAAACAATCCATGGATATACCTACAAAATTCATGACTCTATTTACATCCCTACATCTCATATAATCTATTCAGGTATGGCACTCAACATTGCTGTAAAATTACGCCTCCTTCCACTACCAACACCTCTCCTCCCTACATCCGATACCCGACCTGAACTCTTCTTATGACCTGAAAACGCAGGTGTTGTGAAATACAGGTTTTTACTACTACGACGACAACCACATTTCTCGCCGCCGGTCTTGGCCAATGCAGCGCTCGCCTTGACTGCCAATGCAGCCATCTCTTCCGGCTGAAGCGGACGCCTCAATCGAGTCAACGGTAGCGCGAAGTAGAGCTGGCCAGGTTGAAGCTCGTCGTCGTCACGAATAGCGGAAAGAACATCATCAAACTCCATCTCGTCGGAGTTGCAGATGAAAGTGGACGGATTCTTGTGTAAAACGTATGAAACCTTCACAGGATAAGAGAATTCCTGTAGGCTACCGTCGTGTAAGATCAACTTAGCAGTGGCGACGGATGTTGAATCGCATGAACTGCAAATACCCATTTTTTTCCTTTTTTTGCAGAGAGAGAGGAGGAGAAAAAGAGAGAGAGAGAAGATGGAAATGGCGGTAGGGGGTGGGTGTATATATGGAGTACAAATCCACGTCATAGAATGGCAAAAGTGGTAATTTAGTCTATGATTTACGGGTTATTTGGGTGCAAGTTGCGGATGACAGGCTGTAAGCATCAATAAACACTAAATCCACGAGTATTCGAAGGGAGAGGTGACGTTTGCCGATAAGCAGCTGCGTTGATATTATTTCCAGAATGTTTCCCTTCCTTTATCAACCATTATATTTTCAATTTATTATTAACATAAATACTATATAATATATTTTACGTTTACTTTATTAAAACATGATTACGCTTTGATCATCACATAATCCTTTTTATTAAATTTACTTTTGTTATTTTATTATTTTTTAAAATAAGATAAAGTTCATTTTTAAATTATTTAAAAACATGAACTTAATATGTAATGCAATTAATTTGGTAACAAACTATGAATTGCATTTTGGGGACTAGTAAAATGTATTAATGATGGGCCCTTTGATCTACTCTCAAGCTATTCAATGGGTACTAAAATTAAATGTTGATATTTTATTCTTTGTATTTAGTAATTAATAGGATGGGACGACCTCATATAACAACCTCTACATACATATCTATATATAGCAGGAGTAAGTAAATGCTTTGTTGTTTACTGTTTTTCAACCCACGCAACATATATGATGTATCGACTTTTGTGCATAGGTGACGTGGTAGTGGGGATAAAGACAAAATGTAGAGTTGAAGGTGAAGGTAATAACGTAGTTTTAGGCAAGTTGAGGGGTAGTAGGTGTGATCATGTACGTACGTGGCTGGATTTATCAGATGACAGAGCCATAGAGCTGAACACGTGGAACAAACAAAGAACGGCCACCGCTTCATAACCAATTTACGGTTATGCCCCACTTAATTTCTAATCAGCAATACATTTAGGAATTGATGTGTATGATGTAAGAACGCCTTGATCCCTTTGTATGTTCTAATAACAAGCCTAGCTGGTTGTGGTGAATTGATCTTTAACAAATATTAGGAGGATATAATAATAATAGCTTACTTAATTATAATGAAAATTATGTAAATTTATTATGGAGTTTTGATGGGATCGGATGCATTAGTGCTTGTGTAAATTAAATCATGTCAATGAATTAAACATGCATCAAGGAAGCTTCCCTAAAAATACTAAAGTTTCACCAAAGTTTGAAAAACCCATATAGACATAAGAAAAGAAATCAAGAAAAGCTAGCTGTATTAGGCAGGTTCCACTGGCTACCTGTGATTGAGCTAGCTTCTGTTTTAATTTCAGAAATCTAAGATCCACACTAGCAGATTCCACATGGAAGCAGTTTCTGACTGGATTTCAAGAATTTAATTTACTTGCATGTTCACCAAACAACCGGCAAAATAACAAGAAAACTGAACCAGCAATGACTAGGACTAGATTAAAGAAATCCCCATTTGTCATCCTGTTCCTATGCATGTAAATGGTGGTCATATATAAATGTTTTTTAACAACATGCTTATCTGTGATTGTCTGAAATGTCCAACACACATTCATCCCTATAATTTATCATTCATTGAAGGTGGAGGTGGTTCATGCTGGTTTTCATGTGATCTGGGCTGGTCAAACTTGTATATATCAAATCATCATCATCCACACGTATGAATGTTTGATTATTAAAGAAAATGTCAATGATGAATGTGCTACAGAAACTTTTGGTTGTCTTTCTTCTGTGGTGTTGGTTGTTGATTATAAAATTGATCACTCGCCTATATGGCTATATGGCTATATGGCATATATTATATCTTACCACTTGCCTAAATCAAACAAGTTATACTTAATAAGAATATGTTATGCGTCTATAATAACAAGTTGTTGGACTCCAAAGAATGGTCCCCAAAACTAAATAAGTCAACATTCAAAATGAATAAGATAAGAATTAACCCAATATAGAACCTACAAATTAAGATCAATTAGTGAGACATACCTAACTGGAAATATCCAGCAAGAACTCCAAATTCCTTTGGTTGAAAACTGTACATGTTTTGATGGGCCATTTTTTAACTTCCAGGTGACAGCGTTGGCACAAGGTCATGAGATTCAGGCATATGGAATGGAACTAAACTTCTTCAGTGTTTAGAAATGTGTCTGAAGAGCTGCTAAAATGCCCGAAAGACTTCAAATGATCCAATAATTGATCCAGCAACTCGTATACATTGCTTGACAACTCATTTCTTTGGTCATCAACCATAAATTCATAAACATGCCCGTTAACTTCAACAGAGCTAACGCCTCTGCTCTTTTTGATGCCTTGGTCCTTCATTAGTCTCCTTATGTTCTTCACATCCTCCCATCTTCCAGCTTCACAAAACATGTTTGATACAAGCACATAGACTCCCGAAGTATATGGTTCAAGCTCCAACACATGTTTCAGTACTTGCTTCCCGATTTCGACTTTCCCATGAAGTCTACAAGCCCCAAGCAAGGCACCCCAAACTACAACATCAGGCTTCATTGGCATTCCTCTTATTAACTTAATCGCATCTCCAAATAGCCCTACTCTTCCAAGCAGATCAATCATGCAAGCATAGTGTTCAATTTCATGTGGTACTCCATACATACCAATCATTCTGTCAAAGTAATATTTACCTATTTCTGTTAGACCACTGTGACAACAAGCAGAAAGCAAGCCCATGAAGGTGATCTTATCAGGCTGAATTCCAGCAGCCTGCATTCTGTCAAAGAGTTCCACTGCTTCAAAACCACACCCGTGGAAGGCAAGTGCCCCAATCATAACGTTCCATGAAACAGGATTCTTTTCTGGCATCTCGGAAAAGATGCTCAAAGAAGTTTCTAACAATCCACATTTGGCATACATGTCTATCAATGAATTGAACAATGTGACACTAGGTATTACATAGTTGGAGCATATATAATTGTGGATGTTCTTACCCATTTCCAAATCCCCAAGTTGACAGCATGCTGAAAGAACACTAGTCAGAGTCGACTCATCAGGAGTTACTCCTGCATGGAAAATGTCATTGAACAGACCTAAAACTTCACCATATTCACCTTTTTGTAGATAGCAGGAAATCATTGAATTCCAAGAAACCACATTTTTTACTGGCATTTGGTAAAATAGATTCCTGGCAGACTCCACTAGACCATATTTAGCATAAGCACTGACCATAGTAGTCCATGAGACCACATTTTTATCATTCATTCGGTCAAAGAATGTCTGAGCTGAATGCAGATGCCCACACTTCGCATACATGTCCACGATAGCATTCTGCACATAAATATCAATGTGAGCCCTAGTAATCACGATATATGAATGCAACAATCTTCCTAATGCCTCCTGGCAGTTCTGTGAACAAACAGAAAGTAGGCTAACAAAAGTAAAGTCATCAGGCTCCACGCCTAGTTCCGTCATCTTCCTAAACAATAAAAACGCTTCCCTGCAATAGCCCATCTTAGAGTACCCACCAACCATCGTGTTCCAAGAAACCAAACTCTTATCAACCATGTCATCAAACACCTTTCTTGAATCCCTAATGGCCCCACAACCGCAATAAACACTAATTAACCCATTTTGCACATATACATTTGATTCAAATCCCAACTTGATAATCTGAACATGCACTAAAACCCCATCTAATAATCTAGATAACACCGCACACACCTTAAGAACAAAAGGATATGTGAATTCATTTGGTGAAATGCCAACACAAGTCATTTGATGGTAGAGGTGGAGAGCTTTTGTTGGGGTTTCGCTGTTCACATAACCCCTTATCAAACTATTGTATGTATGTCTATTTGGTTGAGGCAAATGATCGAACATAAGGTGGGCATACTGTAGATCTCCTGTTTCTGACACAGCACAGAAGGAAATCAATTTGCTAATGGTAAGTGTTTGTTGTTGGAGTCCATGGAGGATGATTTGGGCATGAATTAGTTTAAGTTTCTTCATTGATTGACATTTCTCAAGGAGGTGATGGAGGGTCTGGTGAGCAGGGGATGTGAAATTGTTGCGGGTGGTGATGGGTAGAAAAGAGTAGAAAAGGGAGAGGGGTTTCGTATGGCGGGAAACAACCGTCAAACGATGAATAGAAGCGTACATGTTCGTTAAGCATTTAGAAAACAAAATCCTTATCTATCTTTAATAACCATTCAATTTTATTGTGTATTTATTTAACAGGAGTTAAAAGTAAGAAGTGTCAATGTCTGCATTTTTAATCACCTTTAATCTTAAATCAATCTTTAAATCAGGGTTGGGTTCACGTGAGACCAGCTTATTTTCGTGAGACCCGTGATACCATATTTTTACACGTAAACTTCACAGCAAAAACTCTGTGAAGGTTAAAAAAAAGTCGAACCTTCACAGCAAAAACACTGTGAAGGTTAAAAAAAGTCACCTCCACAGCATTTTGCTATGAAGTTTCAAGTGTAAAAATATGGTCTCACGAGTCTCACGAAAACAAGCTGGTCTCACATGATCTCAAGTCCTCTGAATCATGCTTGATAATCAAATTTATGTAATCTGGGTAAGGAATTTGCATAAGATCTCTATTTAAGTAAATATTTTTTTCCTTTTAAACCTGAAAATAAGTTGCGTCATATTTTAACTAAAATAAAAATTTGATTATAAAAATGACTAAAAAAATAAATTTAATCAAACAAATCAGTTATTTTTGTCAAATCTCCCTAGGATTTAAATAGGACATTCGCGTTCATTTACGGTTTTTGTTAAAAAACTTAAAACCAAAAAATTTACTCTGATTTTATTGAACAAACACAGAATACAAAAAATATAAACTCTATTTAGAACATATAAATGAAAGAAAGCTAAATCAACTACTGGTTTGAGAGAAAATTTGACAGAGATCTAAAAAATAATTCTAATTATGAAAACATTTCGAGAGGAAAAAAATATATATATTTTCAAAATTTTATATCAGAAACCGTAAAGAAATGACGGTCATGCTCCGTTACCCTCTATCTTCTTCAAAAAGTGAGCCGCAGTCCTCCAATGTTCCTTTAACATTTTTGTATTTCAAACTTTCATAATTTTAATCTTTATCAATAATAAACCTGACAAAAAAAAAGAGAGCATAATATTGAAAATATAATATGTTTAGCAGATTTTAAAAGGACGATTTAATTTAGGGCAGCAGGCAGCGAGTGGTTTCGATACTGTAAGACCGTTAAAGTCGTTTTTAAAATCAAACGGTCATTCGCCGCCAAGTAGGTGTTTTAGCCCCAAATGCTTTATTGCCTCTCGTAAACTTGATCAAATGTTGCCGAAGCTACCATCTAACCTCCCGCCTCATCTTAGTCTCAAATTCATCAAATCGTACTGTGATTCGGGTGATTTACGGCGTGCACGCCAGCTGTTCGATAAAATTACTAACCCAGATGTGTATTCATGGACGGTGTTGATATCAGCTTATACTAGGCGGGGTCTCCAAAAGGAAGCTATAAATCTGTACACCCAATTGAGGGACAGGGAAATCCAGCCCGATAAATTTGTACTTTTGTCGGTTGTCAAGGCTTGTGCCACATCTAGAGATCTTATCGAGGCTCAGCGAGCTCACAGAGATGCTGTTATGTATGGGTTTCATCGGGATCTTCTGTTGGGGAATGCGATGATAGATATGTTTGGAAAATGCAAGTATCTTGAAGGAGCAAAAAGAGCGTTTCACGATTTACAGTTCCGAGATGTGATTTCTTGGACTTCGATCTGTTCTTGTTATGTTACTTGTGGGAATCCCAGAATGGGCCTCCAATCATTTAGAGAGATGGGGATAGATGGAGTGAGACCCAACTCGGTTTCACTTTCTTCGATTCTACCTGCCTGCTCTGATTTGAAGTGTTTAAATTTGGGTAGAGAAATACATGGATTTGTGGTGAAAAATGGGTTAGGAGCAAATGTATTTATTAGTAGTGCACTTATGGATATGTATGCTAGCTGCTTATGTATCAAAGAGGCTGAGCTGGTATTTGATACAATGGTTCACAGAGATATTGTGTCTCATAATGTGATGATATCGGCATATTTTGAAAATGGAGAAGCTGAGAAAGCACTGGCCATATTCACAAGGATGAAAGATGAAGGTTCTAAGTTAAATTATGCATCCTGGAATGCAGTTATTTCTGGGTGCTTGCAAGCTGGGCGAACACAACAAGCATTAGGGTTACTTACCGAAATGCAAGAAGCAGGGTTCAACCCCAATCAGATTACATTGACTGCTGGCCTGACTGCATGTACAAACTTAGAAAGCTTGAGGGGAGGCAAGGAAATTCATGGTTATATCTTTAGGCATTGTTTCTTGGATGACATAACTGCCTTAACTGCTCTTATCTTTATGTATGCTAAATGTGGCAAACTTGAATTCTCTCGAAAGGCATTTGAGATGATGTCCAGAAGAGATACTGTTGCTTGGAACACGATGATTATTGCAAATTCAATGCATGGGAATGGAGAGGAAGCCTTGGTACTCCTTAGTGAAATGCTAAAGTCAGGCGTCAAGCCCAATGCGGTAACTTTTACAGGAGTTCTTTCTGGTTGTAGCCACTCAAGGCTAGTAGATGAGGGCCTGTCTATCTTCTACTCAATGAGTCGGGTTCATTTGATAGAACCAGATGCTGAGCACCATTCTTGTCTAGTAGATGTTTTGAGTCGTGCTGGTCGCTTAGAAGAGGCATACCGGTTCATACAAGATATGGTGATAGAACCAACTGCTTCTGCTTGGGGAGCATTGCTTGGTGCTTGCAGAGTGTATAAGAATGTTGATTTGGCACGAATTGCAGCAACACGGCTATTTGAGATTGAGCCACACAACTCCGGGAATTATGCTTTACTATCTAACATCCTTGTAAATGCCAAACTATGGGGAGAAGCATCAGAAACTAGAAAATTGATGAGGGATAGAGGAATCAAGAAAGAGCCAGGTTGTAGTTGGGTACAAGTCAGGAATAAAGCACACGTTTTTGTCGCTGGCGACAAGAGAAATGAGCACAGTGATGCTATTTACAAGTTCTTGAGTAATATGAGTGAAAAAATGAGGCAAGACGGGTACTTGCCTGACACAGAGTTTGTCCTTCAAGATCTGGACCTAGAGGAGAAAGAAGACACCTTGTGCAATCACAGTGAGAAACTTGCTGTGGCTTTTGGAATACTGAATTTGAATGGTGAATCATCCATTACTGTGTTCAAGAATTTGAGAATTTGTGGTGACTGCCATAATGCCATAAAGTTCATGGCAAAAATTGTTGGTGTGACGATCGTTGTGAGAGATTCATTAAGGTTTCATCATTTTAGAGATGGGCATTGCTCCTGTAAAGATTTTTGGTGATGTTTGGCTCCTTGTTGAAAAAAGATCAGAAAAACTGTCACTCACAAAATCAACAGCATTGGTTCAGGAATTGGACCATAAATTATGGCAATATTCTCAACATCACATTTGATAGCTTGTTTGTGGTCAAAATCCAGGTACAAACTCATGATACCATTTGATAGCTTGTTTGTGGTCAAAATCCAGGTACAAACACATGATACCATTTTGTTAGCTTGACACCAACTGTATACCAAATTCATGTTCAGTTTTAAAATAATGGGAACATATTTCATAGCATTGGTTGTAAGAATTCTTGAGAATATACAAACAAGATAGTCTCAATAGCTCTCTTGGGGTCAGAGAAAAAGTTGAGGAACACCACCTTTTTATAGTTGAGCACAAAAATCATAAACAAGAAAAGAAATACATGGAGCTAATAATCCACACACTCTATTACTCCAACTGAGCATACCAGACACCTTGGATTTTGACATCCTTGGGAGTCTTGGCCCCCAAATCAGTATCAGAGGGCTGAATGCTCTCAAATACTCCAATCACCTCTCCAGTATCAGGCTTGCTTGAGGTGACACTCAAGGTGATTTTCCCTGTTGATGATGCAACATTCTTTATGTTCTCCTTAAGAAGCTCCTCTTCATCTCCTCTCCCTCCTGCTGGTAGAGCAACAGCATTGTCATATCCGGTAGAACCACCTCTGCCCTTTGGGTCAAGGAAGGAAGAACCTCTGTAAGATGGCACTAGAAATTCGCCACCAAAGCTCTCTGGTTTACCAGATGCTACAAGCTGTTTGATGGTAAAGAGGAAGGGGACACGTTCACCACCTGGAAGCTGAACCGTGACTGCAGCATAGTCGATTCCATCTTTTTCCTCGAATGTGATGGTGCCATCAGAAGATACTTCCAAAGGTCCCTCGATCTCATCAAGGGTGTAGGTCAAACGGGTCATTAGCTTGGTCTTTTGGAACTCAGGTGCAGAGTTCTTGCTCACACCCTCAGCTTTGACTGTGAAAGATGTGGGCTCCAAGCAGAACTTCTTGGCGTTGTACTTGCCTGCCTTGACGGCAAAACCATCAACTCCACCTTCAATGGTTGGGCACTGGTTCGCCGTACCTGTTCCTTTAACTTCAAGGTATGTCTTACTTTGGATTTCATCAAAAGTTAGCCTTTTTGGACTTCCTTCAGCACTTGCTCCCTGTCATAACCAGTAATACCATTACAGGTGTATAAGTTAGAGCAAGAGGATTATACAGCCATGGCTGTATTATGACAATTATAAGTAGCAAGAACTTATGTACTTATTCAACTAGAACAGTTCATGGTTAGGCTATTAAAGTAAAGTAAAATAATTTGAACCAGAGAAACGTACAGAAACGACGAGGGCAGAAGTTGCAAGAGCGAAGCCAGCGATCTTGGCAGCATCAGTGCATTTGTGAGCAAAGTCCTTGAGATCAGCTTGAAGGGAGCAAGTGAGTCTGGCTCCAGCTGACTCGACTCCGAAGGCCTTGCAAACATTCTGAGAAGACTTGAGTTGCAACCGGGTGGAGACACCAACCTTGGTTGGTTGCATGAATGTAGCAGCTGCTTGTAATGAGGCTGCCATTGCTGTAAGTTTGGAAACCCCAACTCCCCTCTCTGTGTTTTGTGTGTCTTGAAGGAGTTTGTTGTTATGGATTATGATTCAAAATGGGATTGAAGTAGGAAAGGGATTTGTGTGGTGCAAGGGTTGATGGGTACAAATTATCTGGTGGGTTTGCTTGGAGCAAGATAAGCAGATAGGATAAGGTGGTGTTCCATTGGCTGGTTTGTGTACTGCCATCTGGCATTCATGATACACAAGTTCCTTTCCTCTAAACAGAAAACATGAATGGATAATTTAATATTTTCTTGAGGTTTTTAGTTTTTTCTTTTTCTTTTTTACTATGGGTAAATTGTTGTATTTGATATTTGTTATGTTTTTACTGTGGGGTGAGTAGCCTAGGAGAGTCGTTACAATCAGGCCGATTGTCATGATGTAAATCCATGAGGTTGGTTTATTTATTTTTATATAGAACTCGATCGTTGATACGATATATAGTCAATCGTTTTTTCTATGAATAATTTTCTTTAAACATGTGAAGTCAAATGTCAGTTAAATCATTTTTTACTTTATTTTTGTGATTTCTAAATTCTTTCATCATGATTAATATTTAGGGTAAATTATGTTTTTCGTCCATGTAGTTTGTCAAAAATTGCAATTTTCGTCCCTGAGGTTTGGTAATTACAGTTTCCGTCCTTATATTTTATAATTCATTGCTATTTTCATGTTTATGATTTACAATTTACTTTTTTTTCGGTCCTTATGGTTTACAGTTCTTTACTGTTTTGGTTATGTGTATTTACAGGTTGAAATTAATTCAGGGACGAAAATAACAATAAATTGCAATCCATAGGGATGAAAATAGCAATTTTTTTATAGCAATAAATTGAAAACCACAGGGATGAAAATTGTAATCTCTAAACCACAGGGACGAAAATCGTAATTTACTCTAATATTTCTTTATCAAGAACTAAACACAACAAAGGCTGAATTCAAATCACCATGAATACGTTTCCTAGGATCCAATCATCCAGTGATCTAATCTATGTATGCATCTTACATAAGATTGAACAAACAAAAGATGGCAAATATTTCAGTACCATGATCTTAGTATTCATGAATAATGAATACAAGCAAAAACATGTCGACACTTGTCGATGCTCACATGATGCATTCATTATGAATTGTGTGCATTCATTATGAATTGTGTGTATATTCACGTGGCTACTTACCTGTTATAAACGAAATATGTGCATTACTAGAAGATGTTATTCAACAAGCTGTTGGCTGAGGGTGAGTTCTGCTCGCTTAACCACGCCTCCTGCACAGAATCAGGGGACCTATCTTTTTCGTTTGTTTTACTCAAACAATTGGATGGAATAACCAGTCTCTGGCTTCCTAATCCCCCTCCCTTTGCATTCTCACTTCCATTGTACGGGGATGATGATGCAACCGACAATGACGCTATGTTTATACTATCATCAGTTCCAGCCCACCCACTGACTCTGATCTGCTCCAACTCCTCTGCAACTTCCATCATCGAAGGCCTCATGTCCCCATGAAAAGCCAAGCATCGAAAAGCCAGCTCAGCTACTTTGTGAATTGACGAAACTGTCCATGTCTCTCCATTTGCTTCCAAGAATGGATCGATTATCTCATCCACACGACCTTTGCCAATCTTGTCAATGGCAAGAGCAGCCAGGTTCACTTCACTGTTACACCGGGACAAGTCAACCACCTTTAAAGCTGTGATTATCTCTAGAAGAACCACTCCAAAGCTATAAACGTCACTCTTATCAGAAAGATGAAAGTTTTGATGGTACTGTGGGTCAACATAGCCAGGTGTCCCTTGAGGTGCAGTCGAGATGTGTGACTCATCTTGCATGCCGAGTCTAGAAAGACCAAAATCTGCAACTTTTGAACTGTAGTTGTAATCTAGAAGTATGTTGCTGGATTTGATGTCTCTATGATAGATTGGAGGATTTACAGAAGAGTGGAGATAAGCAATAGCATGTGCAGTTTCGGTAGCAATGGTTAGTCTTATCGCCCATGGAAGACCATTCCCTCTTTCTCTTTGAAGATGCTGAAACAGGGTCCCATTTTGCATGAACTCATACACCAGGATTTGCTCGCCTTTCTCAATACAACAGCCTAAAAGGCGTACAAGATTCGGGTGGCTTACACAAGATAGAAGCTTGATCTCATTCATGACTTGATCCATTCCGTAACTGTCTATATGCCTGATCTTTTTAATGGCAACCCCCTCGTTGTTGAGTTTTCCAGCATAAACTGTGCCATAGGCTCCTACACCTAACCTTAGTTTCTCAGAGAAACCATTTGTAGCCCTCTCAATTTCTTTGTGAGAGTAAAATGGGACATTGAAGCTCCCTGTAGCTTCTGAAACAAGGCGTTTTGCACTCATTTGGTTTCTGAAGATCGTTCGCTTTCTAATGCAGTAACAAATGAGTGCGATAATAGACACTAAAGAAGCTCCGGCAACAACCCCTGAGAAAGTTGACAAACAAGTAGTGTTTAAGTGCATAGAATGACTATGTGCAGTGGCTGTAATGGAAGATCAAGCTCAAGAACATGTGTATTGAATATATCCTGCACCGATGTAATTAACCAAACCAAACCAAACGAGCCCATTACATCCCACCCTCTGTGGTGTATGGGGGTAAGACGTACGTAGACCTAACCTCAACACTGAAAGTGTAGAATGGTTGTTTCAGTGAAGACCCCTATCTAGTGAGAAGTGTGTGAAAGAGAGAAATACAGAAAACTACCTCCAATTAGAACGCCTACTCTTGTAGTTCCACCACAATCACCAGACATGTACTTTGAAGCATTGCAATGTGACACTGTTCCAAGTCGATACCAATGAAACAAGCTGATCAGTATAAAGACACTCATAAGGCAAGAAACGAGAAAATAAAGCAAATCAGAACCTCACGTCTATATGAAATTAGAGCAACGCTTATTTGTATAATCTTGGATTAGTGACACAAAGTCGTCCCTAATCATCATTTCATGTCTTCATCTATTTGTAGGAGATTAGTGTTGATTGAAGTTGAACTTTCTTATAGAAATAAGATGTCCTCCATTTACCCCCATTCTCTATTTTGTGGGATCCATATTAACTCTTCATACATCAAATAAATGAGACCCCAAAATCACATTGCAGGCTCTTGCTAAGGAAACCCACAAATTATGATAAGATTTGCATAGTCAATGAAGATCCAGATGAATAGATGATTCATCATTTGACTATTACACCCTCAAAATACAACCTTTTTCAACATAGCATCTTTTAATCTTTTTTCTAATTAATCGTAGTTTATTGTTTTATCCATCTAGAAATTTGCAACAATTCAAACAAGTCAAAAGAAAGAAACTTTCAAGATTGGCAAGCTCAACATATATGCTGGTAATTTCAAGTCTTCCAAGTAGATTACCCTTTTATCTATCCACCCTCATGTCCTAAACTGGTGCAAGTTTTACCAAAACGCTAATCTTGATAACCAAATCACATGATTTGAAGTTCTCCAGACATCCCCGTTATCAATAACATTGTTGCCTTCAAATTTTACGCGCATATAAACAAAACCCACAAAAATTAAAGTATCGAATGATCAAAACAAATAGCACGTAGCAATTGGGTGTTTTCTTTTATTTCTTCTTTTATCTGTTGAAAGAGAGAAGGGGGGGGGGGGGTAATCCACATTATAAAACCTATCTTCCATAAACAATAGTATGTGGTTGAAGTTCCATGTTTCATGAAGAAGATAGATATTTAATAAGAAGACTATCTAGATCCACATATTTGGGCATACCCCAAAGTCAAAGGCAATTAGATCATCCAGCCCAACCAACAAGAAAGCAGATAGGTGTACAAGAAAATAAATTCAGTTCCTTACGGTCTTCTGGAATTGTCCATAATTAACTAACATATGGAGGTTTAAACTTGAACAGTAACCAAATAAGAGAGCATGAAAACGGTTTGCAGAATCAAATATGACTCGATTGTTTTCTTATTATGTTATTTGGTTATGAATATTAACTAGTATACTCAAATAAATGGCAACTCGTGTTCTTATTTTATTTTGACTAAATGCAAAGCAGCTCACAATTCGTCCCCAATGTTGGTTCTTGGAAACAAATGAACTCATGATTTCAGGATAATTGGAGCAACAAGGAATGACAATAAATTTGTTCTTGTTTCTATTGATTTTCTGCAAATGAAATTGCAACATTTTTTATTCGGATGAAAGATGTAGATTTCAAATTACCCAACTAAATAAAATGGGTGAAGATGGAACTAACCTCTCCGGCAACCATCGCCGTCGCCGAATCCATCTCCGTCGTATCCTTCAATGCAGTGGCATCGATACCCCACCCTCGCATCATCAATTGAAACGTTCTTACAAACCGCCTTCTGATGGCAATAGCAATCCCCTTCCACCCACCAACCCAACTCCATCGACTGAAACCCCATCGACACCGACGAGTTTTGTGTAGTGTTCCGGTCAAAATCAAAGGTAATCGACGAGTATAAAACCCGACAACCGGCCATTTCCAATCTAATCAAATTCATAAACTCCACGGGATCACGGGTATCGTCTGAGTAACAATTTAAGCTGCCATTCGTTGATTCGCAACTTGGTAAGTTGAAGTGACCCTCGATTATACTCGTTGAGACCACACAATCATTCAACGTCGAGCTACAGTTTCCCAATAGCAACCCATTTCGCCATGTGAGAGCGTAGTTATTGGTTCTGAGTTGACGGATGTCTTTAAATGCGCGGTCGCATTTTGCCGGCAACTTAATCAGTATATAATCGCTGGTTAAATCCAGAACCTGGTATTTGCCACCGATGATAAATATTCCGGTATCTGAACAATTAAGACGAATTTCACAGCCGTCGGAGAATCCGAACGGGTAACGAACTGGGATTTCACGACTACTTCCTTTACAAACCCGATTGCAATTTGCATCGGCGGGAGCTGATAATGATGTGATTACCAGAATCACAAAGAAACGAAGAAGATTAAGAATCATGTTTGAATATCGAACTAAAACTGAACGGTGGTAGAAGTAGCGGGACAAGAGAAGGGAAAATTAAGACCAATAACTGAGTGTGGTTGATCATTTAATAGAAGAAATAAAAGGGGTGCAGCCGATGTCGTTGAGAATTTCTTGCTTCCTTAATAAATGATTTCAGATTAATCGACAAAAGTTGCTCAGGTAAGAGGTGCAAATAACTTAGCGGATTGACTTTTGACGATATATTTCTAAAAATCCAATATGAGACGCCATTGGAAAAGATTCACCGTCCTTCGGATTGACTAGTGAACATTCAGAAGGCGGTGGAATGATTTTCCGGCCATCCTTTTTCTTCTTCTCCGGCGAACGCTTTTTGTGAAACACGGAATCAGAGCACGATAAGATAAAGGACCTGTGACCGTTAGCATGGGATACGCCTTCTGGGTTATGACTTTAATCAGACTAAAATACCAAAAATGCCCATCATCACATTATAATCCAATATTTTAATAATCCAATATTTTAATAACAAGTGTGAAAATAATTTAGTACATGTAATTTTAACAGATTTTTGTTTAAAAATCGAGAGTTAAAGTTAAAATCTTATAAAAATTATTATATTAATATTTCATTAAGTGATAAACCGTTAAAAGGTGAATCTTGTTTGACAATTTTTTTGCCTCTTAATAATTCTAAAACTCTCTTAATGATTTTGTATCATTGATCTTCCTTAATCATTCAGTACCCTTATTTCATCATAAACAATTACCGAACAATTATATTTTATTTTGCACTATATCATGAGAGCATTTCAATCATTTTGATCACTTAATCACATACTATTTGTTAATACAAAGATCTAAAAATTCAATATTACACATGGTTTGGGTTCACGTGAGACAAGACTGTTTTCGTGAGACACAATTTTTACACTTGAAACTTCACGACAAAATGTTGTGAAAGTGAGAAAAAGCCGAATCTTCATAGCAAAAACAACCTTCAAAGTGTTTTGGAGATAAGTTTTAAAAATTTTGTTAGAGCAAAAAAAAGTGTCCAATATCTTTATTTTGAATAATTTGTTGGAGATGGTCTTAAATATAATATACTATTTGTTAATACAAAGATCTTAAATTCAATATTATACATGTGTTGGGTTTACGTGAGACAAGGTTGTTTTCGTGAGACACGACTTTTACACTTGAAACTTCACGACAAAATGTTGTTAAGGTAAGAAAAAGCCGGATCTTCGCAGCAAAAACAACTTTCACAGTGTTTTGCTGTGAAATTTCAAGTGTAAAAATAGTGTCTCATAAATACAGTCTTGTCTCACATGATTCCAAGTCAATTACATATTATTGTAGGAACTCATCGCAAGGTTGGAGTGACTTTCTTAACAGTTTGCGTTGTGGCACTTTGACAACTTTGGAAGTGGCGGAATGAAAATTTTTATGTTGAGGATGGTGCGAATATTAAAAAGAAATGTGAAGATCCATTCCCTTGTGTTCAAAATTTATCCAAGCTTTTGATGGGTAATAGGAATCGTAAGTTCCATCTTAATTGGGATAGTTGGTCTTCCTCTCCTTACCTTGTTTAGTCTTTTTTGTCTGTCTTTGGTTTGGGTTTTGCCTCGGTCTTTTGTTTGGGGCTGTTCGGTTTTGTTCTTTTTGTTCTCGCTTGTTGTGTTGGATTTTTGTATCTTCTTGTGTCTAGCTTCTTGCTGGATCTGTTGTTTAATATATTGGTTGGCTTGGTGAGGGTGATGGTCATGTCGTAGCTCTCTTCCTTTGCCTTTAAAAAAAATTACATATTATTGTAACATATATACAATTACTTAAAACCTTACAATAGCAACAGATAAACTTCATAAATTGAACTAACTTTTTTAAATATGAATTATCTCAAATATAATTACTTTTTCCCAATAAATTATGTCACTAAAATTAGTCTTTTATTATGTTTAATTTGATACATTTTTTCAAACTAAATTTAAAACTTTGATAACGAAAATATATTCATACTAATATATTTAATCTTTTTAAGGCAGCAGATTTTTTTTATTAAAAAACCAAACAAGTATAATGGGAGACGAGACCCAGACTGTGAGGTACAATATCTTACAAAAAACAAAGGGAACAAGACCCATAAAGCTCATAACGGACCAAGAAGATGGAGAATAAAGAAGCAAGACGCAAAACTCCAAGCCCAAAATGAACAACGAGAGGAGGATTAACGACTAGGAGGGTTTTATACGAACATTACCTGTTAAGTGAGAGTGAGGATGGATTCTAGATCCACAAGTCCCATGAAATGGAACTCTTCTAAAGTCGTCTTGATACCCACTCGAACATGTGCCTTTGGATTTTGATAAAGGAATCACGATGGGAGATGATGATTTTTTGAAAATAAAGTCATCCCGCTTACCCGAAATTAGGTAGCAAACTGCTCAAATTGAAGCCTACAACATTTTCGATACCGAGTTCATCCAATCTGTTTTGATGCCCCACTGTTGACAAAACCGACTCCATATTTGTTTGGCAACTACACAAGTTGCAAGGCAATGATCATTTGTTTCAGGTACGCCTTCACAGATAGGATAGAGAACTGTGTCCAAATCAATGCCTCTTTAGTGACTCGAACCAGAATTCTTCCATATAGGATGTGTACATACAATATTAAATTAATCTTTTATTATTAAAAAGTAAAAATCAAATTTAAAAATGAAAGTATTCTTTTAATATTAAATTAATGTTTTTTTTTTCCTAAGGAAGAAAATTTTGTTTTGGGTTTGAAAATTCAAAACTATAGAATTTTACAATAATTTAAACCTTTTAAAAAAATATATATAAACTTTTGTATGGTATAAATCCCAATTAAGAAAAGCATTGATCACATAAAGAAATACCATTTGTCTCTATAAAAAATTATAAGAATTAATTGGAATATATTATGGTTTATGAAACTTTCTATTTTTATTATATTATTTAAAAAAACTGAGATCCGTATAATCATATAATTTTTAGTCAACATACCAAAAAGTCTAATTATGGTTAACCTAATTATTCTATTTTGTATTATACGTATTCGTAATTATCATTTATTGTATTTAAATGAAGATTCATGTCAAACGATAGAAACATTCATAAAGTCTTAGAAAATAAGCAAATAAAAGTATCATGTATACATGTCCGTTGTGTATAGATCATATTGAATTGATGGAGCACTGCTTGCTCGGCTGCAAGCACACCGCGAACCTATGGAAACACATCGTCATTTGGTGGAACATCAATCGTAATCTACCTACTTTTATTCATGAACTGCTCAACTTTGATGAGCGAAAACAGATATCGGATTCGTTAAGGGATATCTTGCAAGCGGTTATTTGGATTGTGGCTTGCTTTCTTTGGAGATTTTAGAAACTTTCGTGTCTTTAAGGGTCGATTCAATCATTGATCTCTTGGGTGACATCCAATTCTAGTTTTTCAATTGGATTTCTTGAGGTGTGATTCTTTATCAATTTATCGGGTTTCTTGGTCCTACACCTCATCCACAATAGTCGTTTGAGCTAGGGATGGTAATGGGGCGGGAACCCCAATCCCCGATCTTTGTCCCTGTCCCCATCCCCACCGGGGAATTTAATCACATCCTCATCCCCGTCCCCAACGAAGAAACGTAGATTTTTTTTTTCTGTTTGTGTAAAAAAAAATTAAATCAAATGTGTGAGACGTTACACATGTTTAAATCTCACATTTTTCCAATAAATCTAAAATCCAAAGGAATTTAATTTAATACAAAAAATATACATCATCATATAATAATTAATAAATCGAAAACAAAAAAAATAAATTTAATCTAAAAAAATTAACGTCACGTGTATCAAAACATATTGAGTAATATCCAATACCACATATAGTAATATCCAAAATATATTGAAATAGAAATTATCATTAACCAATTTAATAGAAATAAATAATATAATTTATTAATTATTATATATATACGGGTACGGGGCGGGGCAGGGCGGGGCGGGGAGTGTGATACCCTTCCCCGTCCCCGGTTTGAGCCAAACGGGGATCCCCGTCCCCAAATCCCGGTTTAACGGGGAACCCCCGACCGGGACGGGTGGACCGGGTTCCCCGACGGGTCGGAGCCAATTCTCATGCCTAGTAGTCTTCTTTCGGCTTTGTTTCTCATTTTGGTTTTAGTCCGTTATTGGCTTTTGCAAGTTCAGAGTTCTCTTTTGTCTTTAAAAAAAGTATCATGTATTAATTATTATCGTATTATATGGTGTTCATGTCGTCAACAATCGATATCTTCATAATTATTTATATCAATCTGAAGTGTTATGTACCTTTCGTTGTCATCTAATAATGTAAAAGCAATTACTTTTTGTACTTACTTTAGTTCTTAAAAAAATTTATTCACTATAATAAAATTTTATTATTTTCTATTTAATATAAACAAAGTCTTAGGATTTTCTATTTGTTTACTTATTTCAAATGTTAACCTATTGATCTTATAGCATTTGATAAAACATATGTCAAATTTATGTTTCTATTTGCCATATCATCTTTTCCTAAATGAAATGAGTATTCACGTCGTTAAATGTTATAAGATCATAATTTATTGATTAAATGTTGAAGTTATTAGGACAACCGTTGCTTTGTGCTTTGGGATGTTACAAATGGTATCAGACCTGACCTTTGTACCATTGGGATGATAAAGCAAACCTCATCGAATATGATGAGTCCTTGAGGGGGGGGGGTGTTTGTAGCATCTTAGACGAATCCCAATTATCCCATATCGCCAACTATAAGGAGAAAGATTTTGGGCAGGCCTGACAAGGACGTAAGAGTTTAAGTAGAAGAGTTTGTAACAACTCGCCCCACATAAATAGAAAATGAGATTTGTGAACTCCTCAAGTTGTGAGATATCAATAACTTTCACCATATTTTTAGGTTGGATTCAAACTTATTGGACCGAGTTGTTGTTTAGGACTTTGGGTGTTACACTAACGTTGTTACATTTTGATCTTGTGAATTATCTATTTCATCCTTCATATTCATGCCCTCAAATTTCTCATATATATATATATATATATATATATATATATGTGTGTGTGTGTGTGTGTGTGTATGGGCTTGTCTTTCGTTAACCAAGCTATTAGTGTTAACTTTGTTAACCTATCATATCTTTCAATTTTTTGATCTACGATTGAAAAGACACAATGACATCCTTGTAATAAAATGGAAACACATGTGTTATAGACCGGTGTGAACTTAGGTAAACACATACATTCTTGGAAAATTAATAAAATAA